AGTTCCAGATAACCAATCAGACAGATATAAATTGACAACAAAAACACCATTGGCGTCAGTTAGTAGCAAAAGGAGGCGCGAAAGATTTCAGAAACATCAAGGTTCTAATGCATTTGCACGATGCAATTGAGTGGCAGCAAGTGGACATGAGAATTGTTCAGAGGACACTGCCCGATGTTCGAGGCGTCCTTCACTATCGTTTGCTCCGCTCACAGATGGTTTCTGGAGACCGAAAACACGGATCAGTCGAATGATCTTCGGGCATTCCCGGCTTTCTGCACTGCGTCTATTTCCTTAGATTTTCACGTCCACCAGGCTCAACGATCAGCGCACACTTGGCGTCCGATGGTTGTCAGAATTCACCTGCTCCAGAAGGGGCGCAAGTGAATTATCGATCGACAGCATCCACAGCTGACGCCGATGTGGTCAAATTGTGTTCGTGACTGACACACTGCTGGAGGAACCAGATGATTTCAGTTGTTACGGAAGCTAGTGCTGAAGAAAAACGGTTTGCAGTCTGTATACATCTAAGGCAGCCATTCAACATTGCTCATAAGTACCGTCTCCACAACCCGATTGGGTTTTAAGTGCGGCAGGTCGTCCCACTTGTGCGTTCAGATCTACAGCAACCACAACGATAGGTGAGCTTCTAGTCCGCCGTAACGGGGCACTCAAAGCGACATAAAAGCTGTCTCCATTGGTGTAAGAGCTACGGAGACGATGAATAAACAATGCCCCGTTGGTGAGATTTTTTCACAGACGTTGTCGGGCCAACCGCAGAGACTACTAACAAGAGCTACCCAGTCGAGCTGGAATGATACCGACCTCCGCACAGCCTGCCCCAGCGGCCTCTGGGGCAGGGGTGCGAACCCGGGAGCGAGAGATTGGTTAAGCAGTTAGCTCAATGAGTGTGCTGGGATTTCGAAGTCTTGTTTCCAATACGCAGCACACTATTTCAAGCGTGCCCAGCGTGAGACCAAGCGCGACCTGTTATCTTACTTGCTTCAGAATGCGAAAATTATAGACCCAGCGTGGGTGCTTGGGGACTGATGTCGAGATACATGAGGCTTCCCGCGCCTGGCGGCCAAGACCGGTGAAGGACAAGTGATGTCATCAGTCCTAAGGGATGGGTCGGCGGAGAGAGGAAAAGTACGTGACTGGCTTGTTTTCGCTTAGTCGCCCTGTAGTGTTTAGCCAATAAGGGCGACTCATCGAAGACAGCACAAGACACTCATTATGATCTAAGGGTATAGTTGTAGGAATCATGAATGTACGCAGGCTGGGATATTGTCCGGGTGCATTGACCTAGATATAAAGACTACTGCAATCCTCAACCAACGCCTCTGGTTCAAGTCTAACCGCAAAGTAGCGTTTAAGACAAATGCTAGTGCATTACACTTCTTAAAGAGCCAGTCATCACACAAGTTCCAGTCCCTGACCTAGAGGACAGGAGCCTGTGATGATTAGACCTCTAACCGCTGACCAACTTTGTAGGAGACTGCGAGCGCCACACGGAAACCCTCCAGTCTAGCTCAGTGGATCATTGAAGCAAAAACCATCAAACAAGGGCAGGAACCAGTCTCTTCTTGATGGAGATTAGTAAAGCAGGTAGTGTTCCATTTAACTCAAAGTAAGACTCTAAATACCTTATGTTAATGATGCAATTGATAATAATAGTGGAGATGTACCAATAAACAGTACCAGATTATCCGGTGGAGTGTTTTTTTAACGGATTTCAATGTTTAGAGTTCATAAGTAGATTATCTCACGACATTAGGAATACGCATTACTGATAACTTTCAGTAGGCCAGCATTCGTCTCCAATTTCAAAAGCCGTCCATTACAACAGAAACGTCTGGAGTTCTTGAGGGTAACTCTTCTGAAGGAGTCAACCGAATTTCGCAATGTCCCCATGCTTCCGAAAACTCTCCAACAACCAGTGGTTCATCAAGGCTACCCTCTAACATTTATTATTGATAAGAATATGCAACGCACGCTCCTAAAGACATTGAATCTAGTTATTGAGATGTCTGACTCGGATCACGGTCATCAGCATACATCCGTTGCGTTACAGTGCTTTGTCAAGAAAACTCATCTTTCTGGAAATTCAGAGTTCAAGTTCGCTAACCAGTTTCCTGTCTTCGTGGATTCATGGGATACAGCCTTGATCACCATCGTCTTCGTTGCATAAAGGGCATGTGCTAGCTTCGACGCCTTGCTTGGCAATGAGTTGAAATCGCTGGAGAGGTAAGGGAAACCCGCCAGCGATGCTGCCTTCCCCCGAAGGACGGGTTAGAAGAGGTCAGCCCGAAAATCCGCACACTCCGATCGCCGAACGGTTGACTGTGACCGCCGGCGCATGATTCAATATGGTCGAAATTCTTTTAAAACCAAAGAGCCCGATGCTGCTCAGAAGGCACCTGCTATGCGCAACCAGCAGGAATGACAGTAATGCTTTATTCCGTGCGCCCTCGGGTTAGGCCAACCCCCTACAGCCGAGCAATGTCAGGCTGAGTCATCGGGTCCGGGCATGGCTCCCAAAAAAAACCCTAATGTCCGCTGCCTCGTGGGTCAGACGTTTGAGTCAGAGGTTATGGGCAAGGTCCCCAAACAATACGCTACGTCCTCCCACTGCCTTGTGGGTCAGACTTTTGAGTCAAAGGCTCAAGGTGGGGTACCTCAACCAAACCCCCTTCCTCGGCCTGGGCAACCGAAAAGTATCATTTGCCCGCGCAGTTCGGTGCCCACCGATGTCCCTCCCCAGCCCTTTCACACGATACAAGCAAACGTCGCTGGGCCATTTGACTGTCGATTATCTGACCGAAGGACTTTATGCTCCTCAACGCCTACTAACGATACAAAAAATACCCTTCTAAATCCACGAGATCATTTCTATATAAGAGCTTTTAACGTCTGTACTCTGTGTCAAATCGGCAAACAGACAATAATCGCTGAGACCTCATCCTCCCTTAAAATTGATGTATGCTGTGTCTCCAAAACACGCATACAAGACCCGAGCGTGGTTATGCATCTCAGAACGCCAAGGATGAACTTAACTCTTTCACATTTCTCCCCTCGTGTGTCCGGTGACCCAGAAGCGATGACTCGTGGAATATGTGGTGTGGGAGTTGCACTCAACCCGAGCTGAACGCGCTTGGCTGGACTGGATCCCAGTCTTTGCCCCGTCCGGCTAGCCAGTTCAATCAAGCTCAAGGCCTCTCGGCATAAAAAGCAGTGCTTGTTTGTAGTGTTGGCTTATGCCCCAACGGAGTCCAGTTCTGAGGCGAAGGATACTTTCTATCGAGAGCTATCCGGGCTCACTCGTCAAGCCAAATGCACTGACATTGTGATCCTCACAGGCGATTCGAATGCCCAAGTAGGTCGTCTGAGCTCCTTGGGATCACATTTGTGTGGTCGATTCGGAGTCGATGCTCGCCGCACAGACGACGGAGATCGACTCCTTCAGTTGTGTACTGATCACGAACTGTTTCTGGCAAGTACGAACTTTCAACATAAACGTTCGCAACGCGTAACCTGATGGCCGCCAACTAAAAATCAACCATGGACCCAGTTGGACTACGTGGCCATCAGCCACCGGTGGAGAGCCACACTCCGAAGAGCAGTTCAGCTGGCCTCATGCAACACAGCCAGTGGAGGTAATGCATTCGGGCGAATGAAATGTAAACCTTGATCGCCTTTCAGAAGAAATAGGGTACGAAATGTCCGTACTGAAACGTGAGGAGTCAGCAGGACCGGACGGTCTGTACCCAGCCCTCTTCAAAGGCGGAAAATTCCTGGTGACCTACCTGACAAAGCTTATTGGTGCTATATGAGATGAAGAGAAAGTGCATTCAGAATGGTGCATGTCGACGGTTATCCCCATCTTCAAAAAGGGTATGCGGACGCTATATAAAAACCACCGTGGCATCAGCCTGTTAGCTGTGGCATCGAAGGTGCTCTCTGGTCTTATCCTTCGAAGGTTGACTGAACACAGAGAGAGGCAGATCCGTGAAAACCAAGCGGGGTTCCGTTCAGCAAGAGGTTGCATCGATCATATTTTCACCCTCCGACAGATTCTGGAACAGCGACACTGCTTCCAACAACCAACAATGGTTGTGTTTCTTGATTTGAAAGCTGCCTTTGACTCTGTGGACCGTCAGGCACTGTGGCAGTGTCTGTGGAGCAAAGGTGTCCCCCATAAATTCTTGACCTTCCTTATGGTCAGAAGAGTCAACACCTGAGTATCCAGTGGAGGCTCGTTCGTTGATTCAGGGCTGTTGTTTGAGATATGAAAAGCGACTTAGAAGGCTGGATATATTTTAACTCAGGAAACGGAGCGGATAATCTGAGGATCGAGGAGGCACGATCCTACGCTCCAGCCGTACGAACCAAGCCAGAGGAAACTGCATGAAGCCAAGCTTCAAGACCCGTACTAAGAGACCTACCAACTTTTTAAGACAAGCGATTAATTGCTGGGATAGCCCCATAATAGAAGCTGGTACAACTACTTCTGTTGCACAATCCATGCGACGGCAAAATGGAGCCTATGGAAATGCCTTTGTGGATCTGCCATGTGGATCGTTCAACTACTCTGGACGGCCCCAGCTTAGTATACTGGTTTAAGATTTCCTTTTCTACTTCACCTCTCTTCGGTTGCAAACAGGCTTATCATAACTCTATAACTTGTGCCCGCATCCAGGCTCGATATTTTGTTCGCAACGTGAACAGTGACCCTATGGTCCCTACAGGATTTTGGCCAGTTGGGGGGAGCGTATCCTACACAGCATTGTCTAATAAGGAAGTCCCAAATTCCTGCTATTACCGCAGTTTCGTGAAAAACGTCGAGGGCTTGAACAAATCCAAGACATCAAAGATGTGTTTCGGACTGATACGAATCCGGCGGGGAGGAAGACTGCCTCGCGAGGGCGCGACTGTTTGACACTAATCTTAACCACCCAACTAATGAAACCAGCTATTATCAAACATTATGCCGAACTCACCGTATTTTGTCACATTCCATCTGAGGAGGATGCCAGAATTTACATCTGCGGCCGCGCTTACACACATTACGAAGATAATCACGACAAATCGCAGGTTCGGACGTAGCTCCTTGTGACGTGGACTTGCAATCTGAACTTATGGCTGACATTAGGGCAAATGGCTGATATTATGACGAATCGAGTATAGGTGGACGAAGACTGGAGCCTGTAGAAAGTGCGCGGATGCATACATTCCCGTCAGAGCATACATCGCGCGCTATAGGTGTGGCATTTTGCAGTTTGTACGCAGGAACAGGCAGAAGGCCAGTTAATTCGGGTAACCACTCGTACTGCAGAACAAAACTCAGCCAATCGTATTTGGCAAGAAAAATACACAGAACCATGGTTTGAATAGCTTGTAGCTATCTAGGCGCGTGATACAAAAGTTCGATCTAACTCGACCGGCGGAGCCCAGTATTCGCACAATGGAATTGAATATTCGAAAACTGCGTGTCCCTTTTGGAATAAAGGAGGGAGGAAATTGAGTTCGGAGTACCAGTTCAATCATAAGGGATCAGTCTAAGCTTCCCGTGGTATCAGCGATGCCAGGGAAGTATTCCATTAAACTTTTTTCGCCATAGGTACGATTGCTTCGGTGGATGATGTAATTTGATGGGCTGCAAAAACATGAGAGTAGATTAGAACTATTTTTTGACTTGAGCAGCTACGCAACAAAATGCAACATCTTGGCCCAAAAAGTTGCATTTTACTCACAAAGGTTTTGCGGCTAAAAGCATTGTGCAGCTAATGCTCCCACCCACGGGGGCTACTCCTGTTTCTTATCTACGCCAACGATCTTCCAACTTCCTTCCTTCAAGGTTGATCTCTAAGTTCGGACTAACCGAAGTATTTGAGTTTCAACGCCAGCGTCTTCTAGCTGGGTGTAGATGCTACAGTGCGGTGGTCACTGGACTGGAGCCTTCCCCTGGATGACGAAAAATGTAAATTTTAGTTCTAGCAAATTCATAGCCCCGAACAGAGAACTCAAACAACAGTTTTCGCTTGAGTTTTTGCTTGAACGTAAGCCGCTAAACGACGAGAACAAATCCTGTCCAGGGGCTTGGGCTTAGTCTAACTCGTACTAACATGTACGGGGTTTGCACGTAGAGCCGGCTGTTAAGTATGGCTTTGTCTATAGAGACAAAGGAACAAAATCTCGGTCGCCTCATATTATCTTCAACGCAATTACGAGGTTTCCAATTTTTTACGATCGGTTTTCGGTAAATCGATATCTGACAAGAAGGGATTTGGACACCTGCGGGACTCTGCTTTAGTATGGAGCGACATTGTATTGACTGCGTCTGTTTGTAGCCCGAGTTCGGAAAGGTCATTACCACTCAGGATATGTATACAACTGCCGGTGGAAGCATCTAACAGCTATGCTGAGTAAGTCATAGAAAATTATGTTCTATTCTGTCAGATGGCATGGTCACCGCAGTTACACATGCTTCGCCTGGCGGCAACAGGTAGTGCTATTCTGACGCTTCCCTGATGTAGCAAACCTCGATGGTACAGGCGCAACTTGTTAAAGCAAGTAACCTGTGGCCTATGGACGCAAGCTCCACGCGTTACTGATCACAGCTTGCGTGGTAACCAAGCGTATGGCTACATACGCCTCTGTGAAAGGAAGGCATTTTCTCGTTCGACTTTTTTAGGGAAATGATTGGAAAACACTGTCAAGTAAAGAAGTTCGCTAGGGATAAATTGTGCTACGCATGCAGGTGGCGAGAGTGGTGTTCGCCTGCCACGTTATGTTGTGCTATGTTCAAAGCAAGCAGAAGGCACTACGAACCATATAACATGCATGTATTTTGACCACAAACATTTCCCGCGAGCAATCGAAACTTTCCCAAACATGATTCATTTAGAAACACCGTACATTGTGTTTTCGTTTATTATAGGATTTGCTCACATACTCCGACAAAATCCGCAGGCGCTGCGTCGCATGGACGCCTGATTCACGAATTCACTGACCGATACACAGGACCGAGGGTTTTACCCAAGTTTCCCTAGTCGGCTTCCTTCAGCGGTCGTCATTTACCAGAAAGCCAAGTTAAGAAAGGGTGTGGCGATGCTCTTTAGGTTTTCAGCACGGAGTAGTACACTTTTTAGCGCGATGATAACCTCCCGCCAAAATACGGTGAAATCGCAAGTCTACAAAAATAATTGGAGGAAAAACAGAAATAAAATGACAAAACACCTGTGATAAAACTGGCCAGAGCAACAGAAACTTGGTGCAAATGCATTTGTATAAATGGGAAACTAAGTGATCTGTCTCAAAAATCATTCACAGTCGTGAAATCCCGAAGAAGAGAAGGTTAAACTCTGGTGGAAAAGACATGAGCTTTTTTCCCGATTCTTGGAACCACCGGTCCAAGGCTTGGAAAAACTCAAAATCCTGGTGGATTTTTGTGTTAATCCTTCCTTTGTATTTTCAACGTATTGCTTTTAAAGTTTGGCAATCACTTCGGAATTAGAGCGTCAAGTTCGCGGGACCAGAAAGCCTTCAATATACTCTCCGTTCTTTAATGTCAAAAGCCTTTTTAACTGAGCTATCTGATGGGGCGCTCACTGATCAGTAAAACCCCTCAATAACGGGGCTGGGCGGGCCAGAATTTGCGTGTGCTTTTTGAGTTACGACTCCGTGTCTGAACACAGTATGCACGGTGAAGCCTGAAAGGTGCCGTTGGGTGTACGAGCAGTTGGAGCATCTGCGGGACGATTGTGCGTCTTATGTACTATAGTGTGTAAATGGCTTTTCAGAAATTTTGAACTTAGTTCTGACTTTCGGCTCCCAGTCACTGACATTGATACTTGTGGAACACATGCATGTATGTTATAATTGCCTTCGCGCAACTTGGATCCTTCAGGATTGCCAGGAGGATTAAAACCTGCTACATAAAGCTGGAGTTACAAAATGCCATTAATAAGAAAACTACCCAGACAATTTATACGCATGCATGTTTGGGCTGTAAGTTGGGTTATAATAACCTACAATGTTGTGTTGCGCTTCTCAGTCCCATTTTGGAACGTTCACATAAATAAAAAAAGCTAAGGCCTGGTGAATCTCAACCAGCGGTTATTTCTCGTCCGCACATGCGTGCAGGTCTCGAAGTCTACTAAGTCTTCACAAACAGCTACGAAACACGCGTAACAGCTACGCTATAGAGAAAATACTTCCCGCCTCAAGAAGTTCACCCGGGAACTCACAACATTTTTCCTCAGATGATAAATAACTTCTTGGCTTTTTCCAATATTCGCATTGCAATTATTTTTATCAAATTATCATCAAATCATTAAATAATTTTTCCACTATAATTTGATAGTGCTTATCACCTGCTAATTCCGTTAATTAAGTTACAAATAAAGAAGTAACACGCCAGACAACGGTGTGTGTGTGACGAAATATGAGAATTATATCCCAAGTTCCGAACGCTTCAATTTCGCAGATGGTTCTGCCTGATATGGTGTGCTGAACGCAAGTGCTAGCGCGCGAATCGATTATACCGGGCTATATTACGATATTGGGCGTTAAGGTGACCGACTTTCGATTAGGTTTGTTCACTAGAGAGTGGTAATTACGCCAATGTGAAACTTGTCTGCCCCAGCTTGTAGCAGTTTCCTCCCACCGCTCATTTGTATTAGTGTCCTAGTTGGAGTGTCATAACTCGTGACGTAAAAACTTTCTTCAGCGTGTGTAAGAAGGTGCACCACCTGGAGAGCTGGAAATCCCCGGTACGGTGGAGAGACATAGCGGATGGGTGCTGGTTAGAGCTGCAGGCTTTGTGCCGAGGATCCGACAAACTTGATCAGTTATATTAAAAAGAACACTTATTATGAACATGTCCGCCCCAGGTTGTCTCTGGTTGTCTCATTCGCACTTCAAACTGCACGTTGATACCTTTCAAACCACCAGGACAGTAGGAAGAATTCTTGTCATTTCGTTCTTTGTTCCGATTTAAATTTTTTTGCTTGGGGAACTCCGCCAATAACTTATGATAATAACAAGGTTTATTCACACTGGGCTGGGTCTTCTCTAAATTGGCAAGACCTAAATGTGGTGGGCATCAAGGACAGAAAAAGGTATTTGTTAGGATTTTTCTCGTCTGTCAGGGGACATATAAAACTAAAGCAGAATCAGACAGCTACAATCGGAAGATGGGGACAACAGGCCACGGGAGGTTGCAAAATAATGGATTTTGCCTTGCACGTGATGAGGAAGTACAAACAGCAAAATAGGGAACAAGAACAACTAATCTGGAAAAACAGAATGATTTCAGTGGTCCGGTCAGCCGATTCGAACTGAAATTAAAAACCACCGCTGAGACTCTGTGGCTTTAGACAGTTCAGTTTAGTGTCAGTGTCACAAAAAAAATAAAGCGCTCAAGGGGACAATTTCGTATAAGCTCTAATCTCAAAACCACAGAACTTTTGTGACTCACTGGTGCTGATGTTGATCCGAAACGAGTGCAAAATTTCCTCGTAAAGACGAGTCACTGCCAACGCATAAGCTGGAACGTGAACTGCAAAGAAAATTGCTATCTTTATATGGAGAACAAGCTGAAAATGCGCCTGGGTAGATAACTCCAAGAGGAAAATCGAGTGTATTAGGATGAAGTGCTCACAGATGCGGTGGGGGCAAGGTAAGCAGTTTGCTCACATTTGCAGCTATACTTACGGACGGCCAGAGGAGGCATTCTAGTGTATGGAGAAAGTAGTTGCGTAGGCGGCTTTGGATTGGGTATGGCAGTGCCGTACCAGAGTTGCACCGAAATATTCCGGTTTCCAGAAAGCGCCATAATAGAAGTCACAGTTGGCGTGAGGGTGCGCAATTCTATGGGCAGACGGATTTCGGGTTAGCCAATGGAATCCAGGTAGGCTTGAAAAAGTCGGCGTAATGTAAGAGCTAATTTCGGGAAGATTCACGCGGACATAAAGTGGGGACCAGGCGGGTGGATGGAAATAATTCAGGGCGTTCGAAGCAGCTACTGCAAAGATGGATGCTGAGGAAGAGGAGAGAATGGGATGCGGTCAGCAAGCCCCGTGAGTTTGATGAACTTCCCGTGGAGCCTATTAAGAGAATATATCTAAAAATTCGTTACGGTTGTAGTGACGTTATCAAATGCTTAGTTAAGACAAACTAGGGGTAGGTCTGTGCTGAGTATCCTGGCAATCAATAGCTGGTCAAGCTTGTAAACATAATGCTAATATAGTACAAGAGGAACAGAACAAACGGTATAAGTATGCTTTGTCTTTTTTATTTTATTTTATTTTTTGCTGACGTTTGACGAACGCAAATTTCAATCTCAAGGTCAGGTATTGTAAAAACTTCTTTTGGGACCCTAGCCCTACCGTAGCGTTTTACTTACCCTAGTAGAGCATTTAGCTACCTGTTTTAGATATATGGTTTTCGACCGCACCTAACCACCCCACCAACTCTTCCTAGCTTGATTAGGCCCCACTGAACATAAGCTTGCTAGCATAATCCCACTGAGGCTTACTATTACCTGGTTTGAATCAAACAATGCCACCAATCCTATCTTCCTCTAAGCGCTCGCTAGACCCTGATTCCCCATCATCCACCCCCTCATTGCTTCCAAAGAAGCGCCTTGCAGGGAAAACGCATAACACTAAACCTCATTATCCTCCAAGCCTGGTCGATAGATTGCCCCAGCTAAATTCTACCTGCTCAGTTGTACTAACTGACATTTTCCTTCCTGCCGTACCCGATAGCTGCCTTTCATCCTCTTCACCAAATGACTCTCAGCTCCACACCGATCTGTCAAG